ACAAGGGTTTAATGTAAAGAAAATGATGTCACCAGGTGGCACGATTACACATCATATTTGAAGAAGATATACCAATGTTCTATCGAAACGTATGGTATGTTCATCATAATATAAATCACCTCATTATGCTAATAAATCGTTTTTGTCAACTCATGATTATAAATAAAACATGTTATAATCCAGTGCATTCTATATGTCCCACAGGCAACATCTCTCATTATTACGCATATTTTCATACACACAAAACTCGTTACCGTTATCAATCTTCTATATTTGATTTATTCAGTTTTGAATACTGTGCGATAAGAGATACTGTACATGGTAATTGTCATCTTGTTATTGTGTAATGTAGATACTGTACATGGTAATTGTCATCTTGTTATTGTGTAATGTAGATACTGTACATGGTAATTGTCATCTTGTTATTGTGTAATGTAGATACTGTACATGGTAATTGTCATCTTGTTATTGTGTAATGTAGATACTGTACATGGTAATTGTCATCTTGTTATTGTGTAATGTAGATACTGTACATGGTAATTGTCATCTTGTTATTGTGTAACAGATACTGTACATGGTAATTGTCATCTTGTTATTGTGTAACAGATACTGTACATGGTAATTGTCATCTTGTTATTGTGTAATGTAGATACGTTCATATTGGAGGGGGGGCGTACTCACAACGCATGACTTTGAAATAGCTATCTGAAAAATGTACTGAGTGCACGTTGTATCCTCATTTCCAAGAATAATAATAAACGACAAATAGCGCCCCCACAGAAATATCTGAATCACTTTATATAAAACTTGTAAAGTATTAACATAACTCCTAGACGGATTTGTTGTTAACCTCGACTTACATAAAACTTGCCAAGGAAATACTTGGCTATAAACTCGTCATGCCAAACACAAGCCAGAGTAACATCTGTTTTTAACCTAGACTTATATAAAACGTGCCAGGGAAATATTTGATATTATACACAATCTGTCAAACACAAGCTAGAGTAACACCTGTTTTAACCTCTACTTACATAAAACTTGCCAGGGAAATACTTGGCTGTAAGCTCGCTATGCCAAACACAAGCCAGAGTAACACCTGTTTTAACCTCTACTTACATAAAACTTTCTACGGATACAACTGGCTTTAAACTCGCTATGCCAAACACAAGCCAGAGTAACACCTGTTTTTACCATCTACTTGCATAAAACTTGCCAGGGAAATACTTCGCTGTAAGCTCGCTATGCCAAACACAAGCCAGAGTAACACCTGTTTTTACCCTCTACTTACATAAAACTTTCTACGGATACAACTGGCTTTAAACTCGCTATGCCAAACACAAGCCAGAGTAACACCTGTTTTTACCCTCTACTTACATAAAACTTTCTACGGATACAACTGGCTTTAAACTCGCTATGCCAAACACAAGCCAGAGTAACACCAGTTTTTAACCTCTACTTACATAAAACTTGCCAGGGAAATACTTCGCTGTAAGCTCGCTAAGCCAAACACAAGCCAGAGTAACACCTGTTTTTAAACTCTACTTACATAAAACTTTCTACGGACACAACTGGCTTTAAACTCGCTATGCCAAACACAAGCCAGAGTAACACCTGTTTTTACCCTCTACTCACATAAAACTTGCCAGTGAAATACTTGGCTTTAAACTCGCTATGCCAAACACAAGCCAGAGTAACACTTGTTTTTAACCTCAACTTACATAAAACTTGCCAGGTAAATACTTGGCTTTAAACTCGCTATGCCAAACACAAGCCAGAGTAACATCTGTTTTTAACCTCTACTTACATAAAACTTGCCAGGTAAATACTTGGCTTTAAACTCGCTATGCCAAACACAAATCAGAGTAACACTTGTTAATCTTGGTTTGGATAACATGAGACAGGAAAACACTTAAGGTTAACTACTATACAACACAAGCTAGAGAAAGACCCGTTGTTAAGTATCTTACAGTATGTATATGTCAATAAAAGTACATAGCATCACTAAAACATTTGTACTAACATAATGCTACAAAAGACCTCCCATAGACAATCTATAATGAAATAAGTTTAATTTGCTCTTTGCTTTATTATGCATGTCAAACACATTCATACGTTCAACCATGTGAGAACGATCTGCATTACATGCGCCACAAAAGTTTGTTTGAAGTTAAGCACAAAGCTACACAAAGGGCTATCTGTGCTCTGCCCACAACG